TGGACTTTGGGGGAAGATTTGACAGAAATCTGATGGTCAGGAAACGGCATTAACGTGTCGAAATTTGCAATTTGGTTAGAATTTAGTAGTAGTTCTTAAATTATGCAATGCTAACTACTTCCAGCGATTAAGTTAATCCCAATTCTGTTCTCTACTGATCTACTGTTCTGAGCACATTTACAACTTAAAGCTCTTTTATACAATAACACACGCACCCCACGCATATGCATTTTAAGGTTTCCTTGCCTGGCTGCCAAAAGGGCATGTTTCAGCATTATTTCATTACTTACATTACTCATGCTTCTTGTGCAAACAACTAAATTGCGTACACAACTTTACATCAGTTATCATAACTTCAACTATCTAATTTGCGCCGCTCTCGTGATTCGTGAAGCATAATAAAGGGCATAATATAAGGGTATAATACCAGCAAAAAGGGCATAATTCTCGTGATCGCTTCGATTGAAACCTGACCAATATTCCGGTAATGAGACATTGCCTGTGATCACTGATCATGTTTCTATATGAACGATTTCGTGTGAGCTGTGAGGTAGCAAATACGGTTAGGCAAAATAGTCTGTAATTTAATATATGTCGCCTATGCGACATATCTGTTTTATACTGTAGCCTATAAACACGTCTTTTTTTCTTGGCGGAAATAACCATATTTTTTCGAGAATGTGTTTTTTCCCACCCACTTTCAAAATTCGGCGCCCCATTTTCATTTTTGCGCCCCCCAAGAATTGCCAGCTGGGGGGGCCGTGGCCTCCCGGCCCCCCCCCTGCCAGCACGCCACTGGTAATGCTATCCATTTAAACTGATATGGACAACCCAACGAAATTACCCAACCCTTCGATAAGAATTGCTCAACTGTCGACATGAGTCATGTCTTACCTTTTGTGCCAATATTGAGAGCGGGAAAGTTTTCCCCTATAGTATATTGGTCCCCGCTTCGTACGTTTATGTGTTTCGCTATAAAAATTATATATATATATATATATATATATATATATATATATATATATATATATATATATATATATATATATATATATATATATATTATATATGCTGTATATATATATATATATATATATATATATATACTGTATATATATATACAGGGTGTATCAAAAAAAGCGCAACCTCGGAATTTCCCAAGACATCGACATTGTTTTAAAGACAAAAGATTTTAGGCGCCTGGGAATTTAAAATAGCATAACTGTCAAAATTACTGCACACGCGAGTGCATAAAGCAAAATTTATGCATTTATATTAAATAAATAACAGTAACATGATCTATTAGCAATTCGATTTCAATTCCCAGGGGCCTAAAATCTTTTATGCTTAAGAATTGCAAAGTGATTTCTTAGGAAATTCCGAGGTTGCGGTTTTTTTGATACACCCTGTATATATATATATATGCAAAAGACAAAGTTTAATTATATACAGCTATTTCAATTAAGGTTGTTCACGAGTGAAGCGGAAAAGTCGAATACGAGTGCGAAAGGCTGCTGGGAATCGCTAAAACATTAATGGATTTATTAGGGTTCCCAGCATTCTTTCGCTCTCGTATTCGACTTTTCCGCTTCGCTCAGGGACAACCTTAATTGAAACAGCTGTATACATATAGTTCTATACTTTTAAAAACTGCCTGAAAGTTTCACGCTAACATCTTCTAATATACTGTATATGCATGCTTTAGAATATGGATCACACCGTTTGGAACTTAATTCTTGTATTGTAAATAGTTGTATATAATTCTTTATTCTTTTCTATATCATATTTGTAATTTTTAATAGTAACAGACGTCCCTCGTGAAAATCAACAAATCGTTGACGAGGCTAACGTCTTTAAATAAAGTTTACATACATACATACCAAATGCTAATTCAGTAATTGGTTTTGGCCCAAAAGCCGAATAAAAAATGGCAACGGTCGGGTTTAGATTATGAAGAAAGCTTCCGATTGATATGTATAGGGATGCATGCAACTATCGATTACAGTGACTATAACTATAACTATACGGACCGTTCGGATTTAGATCATAGTGGAAATATATGCCATATAAAAAACGAGAAGAAATTTAGCAACAGTTCTTAATCAACGTAAAGAAGGAACGCCCTTTCACAATTTTTTATTTAAATTTTGTTAGACTATGAAACAATGTTGTCCTAAGCACATGTCCATGACAACCGCCTCGTTTTGGGGTAAAATTTTAAAGGAGAAAAATATGTTGTCAGAGTAAATAAAGCATTTATCCCAAAACGCGTGCATGCATGATGATGGGTCCAATTTCCTACGGAGTACCTCGAAGTATTTTCGATTATTTTAGCTAGTTCAGAGATACAGCACAGCCGTTTAGATCACGATTAATATTAACCGTGTTTAGATCAAGCGATATAATTTATCGAATTCACTATTTGCTCGGAACAGAATTTAATTTCAATTACAAAAACCGGCCAGTTATTAAATCCATGCAAGTGTTGATAATATCAATTTATACATAAAATCAATTTAATTTCAACATGTTAAACATTCGTCACTCACGAATAACAGAAACCGGCCAGTTATTAAATCCAAGTGCAGTTAATAATATCGATTTAGACATAAATCAAAATTAGCATATAGATTAATTGGTTCTCACTATTCGGTTAGTATCGACAACATTCAACAATTTATCTTTATCTCGCATATATGGCGGGATGATGCACGTTCTCCCAGGGATTCCTGTCTTTTTCATGGTCTCAACATAGACAAATAATACAATATATACATACAGCTATTTCAATTAAGGTTGTCCACGAGCAAAGCAGAAAAGTCGAATACGAGAGCGAAAGGCTGCTGGGAATCGCTAAAACATTAATGGATTTATTAGGGTTCCCAGCATTCTTTCGCTCTCGTATTCGACTTTTCCGCTTCGCTCAGGGACAAACTTAATTGAAACAGCTGTATACATATAGTTCTATACTGTAAATACCAAATGCTAATTCAGTAATTGGTTTTGGCCCAAAAGCCGAATAAAAAATGGCAACGGTCGGGTTTAGATTATGAAGAATGCTTCCGATTGATATGTATAGGGATGCATGCAACTATCGATTACAGTGACTATAACTATAACTATACGGACCGTTCGGATTTAGATCATAGTGGAAATATATGCCATATAAAAAACGAGAAGAAATTTAGCAACAGTTCTTAATCAACGTAAAGAAGGAACGCCCTTTCACAATTTTTTATTTAAATTTTGTTAGACTATGAAACAATGTTGTCCTAAGCACATGTCCATGACAACCGCCTCGTTTTGGGGTAAAATTTTAAGGAGAAAAATATGTTGTCAGAGTAAATAAAGCATTTATCCCAAAACGCGTGCAGGCATGATGATGGGTCCAATTTCCTACGGAGTACCTCGAAGTATTTTCGATTATTTTAGCTAGTTCAGAGATACAGCACAGCCGTTTAGATTACGATTAATATTAACCGTGTTTAGATCAAGCGATATAATTTATCGAATTCACTATTTGCTCGGAACAGAATTTAATTTCAATTACAAAAACCGGCCAGTTATTAAATCCATGCAAGTGTTGATAATATCAATTTATACATAAAATCAATTTAATTTCAACATGTTAAACATTCGTCACTCACGAATGTAGTTAATAATATCGATTTAGACATAAATCAAAATTAGCATATAGATTAATTAGTTCTCACTATTCGGTTAGTATCGACAACATTCAACAATTTATCTTTATCTCGTATATATGGCGGGATGATGCACGTTCTCCCAGGGATTCCTGTCTTTTTAACATGGTCTCAACATAGACAAATAATACAATATATACATACAGCTATTTCAATTAAGGTTGTCCACGAGCAAAGCAGAAAAGTCGAATACGAGCGCGAAAGGCTGCTGAGAATCGCTAACAAATTAATGAATTTTCAAAGCGGTTCCCAGCAGCATGTCGCGCTCGTATTCGACTTTTCCGCTTTGCTCGCGGACAACCTTAATTGAAATAGCTGTATATATATCACAGAATAAAATTCTGTGCTGTATATACTGCATGTGAATCTGTCAATAACATGGACAAAAAATTGAATAGGTAAGTACAACACGACGACATCAACGTTATAAAAAGCTTGGTTTACACTATCAAAGTTTCGATGATCACAGCCACAGGGAATTTGGGTAGATATAAAATCTGAGACTTAAGAATGAAGGATCTGTAAATTAAGAAATGTTGCAGGGAATTGACTCAGTGTTTAATAGTTATTTATACCTCAAACATTTCGTGTACAAATCCTTCAAACTATGCAAAATCCTTATCTATATAATGCAAAATTCCTGCTACATCAGAAATTAGGCATTCTTTTCGCTATACTCTCCATTGGTCTTATTTCCAAAACGGTCTGTAAATTAGGTTTTGGGAGAAAACAGTCGCGTTAATCCCGAATCAGGTTTTCTATGGCAATTATAATTTGAAATTATTAATCTAAACGTCAACGAACTTAGTCAGGTCGGTAGTGTGTATTTGTATCCTTGTAAGGCCACATAAAAAAAAATAGTTGGTTAGCGTCCCCGCCCGCCCACAAAAAAGGCCCCGCTCAGGATTTTTTTTTATTTTTTATTTAAAAAAACACGACTTTTATTGATCAACGGGCTCTAATATATGTAGTATTTCTGTTGACTGTAGTCAATTGTGTTAATAATTTGCGAAATTGCGTGCGAAAGTGACGGTATCAATTATATTTTGAAATATATAAAAAAATATCTGTACTGCGCAAGAAAATCCAGTTTCGGACCTAACAGTGAGTAAAACCAAGGCGTTAAAAATTAGTAAAAATTAAAAAAAAAGCGCCCACCCGCCCACTTTTTGGCAAAAGCTAAGGACGCTAACCAACTATTTTTTTTATATGGCCTAAGGGGTATACTGCAAGCTTTGGGATTTCTCTAGATATCAAAACATTGTCACTTTTTTAAATATAGATACATTTTGCTTACAACCATCCTACTCCATCAAATCCAGCTTGCGTGTGTTGTCAGTCAGAGTCGATTTTCAGTAACTGGTATACAAGACAAGGCCATTCACAGAATGTTTGTAATAAAAATCTTAAATATGGATGGAAAATCTTTTAGCTTTTGTTTAGCGAGATGTTTAGAAAACTGTTTGTGTAAATCTTTCCAAGTTTGTGATAGCACTAAATGCGAATTGTCATCAATAAACAAAAATGAAGATGGATCAGCATTCGACACAAGATCGGGATGTGTGTACTATGATCTAGACGCACTAGACGTAAGTATTAGTCAGGGGGGTGGGCGGAGCCGCCAAACAGAAGTAATTTATCACAGACTATATATTATAAATATCCAAAAAGTGGGGCCGAAGTTCCGACTCACGCTCTTGCTCAAATAGGACTGATTTTTGTTCACATTTGGGTTATTCTACAAAAAAATAATATATTTTTATTTTGTCGATACAAGTGCATTTCAGACGCGGTTAGCAGTCGTCGTTCTGTTCAAGATCTGTACGTGTGTCTTTTATTTAGTATCAGAACTCATGGGTGTACTTTTAAAATGACTTTGATATATTTCAAACTCACTTTTCCAAAATATAGAGTGGACTCGGAGACTGCCCACCTTTGCCAGCAAATTCAGTAATGTATCATGCACAATTATTGAACGAACTAATTAGTATACGCATTCAGTTCACTCTTCCCGGCAAAGCAAGGCAACCTTTTACTACATTCTCCTCCAATTTTCATCCAAATTTAACTAAAATCTAACTACTTTGTCCTTGGGCAATGGATCCCACAGTTGATATTTTTAAGTTATCGTGTTGACAGACAAACACTCGCACAGAAGCAGACAGACACACATATAAAACGCGGATGAAAACATAACCTCCTGGCGGTGGTAAATTCCTCCTGGCGGAGGTAAATTAGGCCTGAAGTTTTGCTGTTCTGTTCTGTGTGAAAACATTAACTCAGCATGCCCGTTCAAAACAGTGTGTATTTGTGCATGTCACTCCTGGATATTCCAAGCTTTTTTTATTTTTAAAAACAAATATTTTTCTATTTTAGGCAGCCAAACAGCAATGCAGCAAAACATGTTCCAGCTCAATAAACTGCTGCATTACCTCGAACCCATGCCTTCATGGCGGTGTTTGCCTCGCCGCCAACTCAATCCCATCCACCAAAGGTCGTTCCAGATTCAGGTGTGAATGCCCGCAACCTTATATAGGACCTCGATGTAAAAATCCAGTGAGATCATGCCGTGGGTACAGGAACGGATCTCGAACTTCTGGCCTCTATAAAATCCTTGCTGGTAACGAAACTTCGGTGGATGTATATTGTGATTTTGACCCGATCACATCGCTCACATGGACACTGGTTCAATCGCATGTTAGAGACACTAAGATGAAGTCATTGAAATGGAATAGCCCTATATCTCCTGACACTCCTTCGTGGACCGGCTATCGCCTTCAGAAATCTAGAATGCGATCTATTCAAGTTGATTCCAGCAAATGGCGCATTACATGTCAATACAACGGCACAACACCGCTGACTGATTATGTTTACGGTGCAATTAAAGACATGGATATTTTAGAACCAATAGTCAATTGCGCAAAAGTGGAGTTTATCAAAATCCGAGATGAGTCGTGCAGCAATTGTACGGCACATTTCTTTCAAAATGATAATTATATGTTGCATCATTACTCGTCATCGAGAACAGCGAAGTGCGAGTTCAGTATAACGCGAGGGGCGAAAATGTCGTGTGATGGAGAGTATTTTGGTTTATTTGACTGCAAAGATAAGGATCATGTGTGTTCTTCATCGCTAAAAGCGACCACGCAAATTTGGTTCGGAGGATACTAAAATGAAAATGAGCAGAACCTCCATATATAAAACTAACGACAGGTCCGTGTGAGGTAAGGTAGGGACTTTAAGCAAACAGGACAGCAACGCGGCGACGACGGTTATTCACACAATGATATTCCTGATCTCGTACAAAAGAAATGAATAATTAAAAGCCCCAAGGGAGTTAGAGACGTTGTGTTAGGGCTTTTTACAACGGCAAACCAGAGATTTTCACGTCTCGTGTACAAAGCAAACATGTCAAGACGCGACAAGTGAAACTACAAATTTGCTCAGTAAAAGCGTTTTTAACCATAAAGCCTTTGTTTCAATCTCTTCAAACTGAACTCAATTCATCTATACATGCATGCAGTGGATAATACACAACAACTCCTCTTCGCAACAATTTATTTGAAGAAGTTGTTTTGGCTGTCGTCGTCGCGTTGCCGTCGTACATGCTTAAGGTCTCTACCTAATAACAGCCAGAAGGGGACGGACCTTTTTAAAATATGCATAGAACCAAATATGCATTTTCACCAGAGTATGTGTCATACCTAATTTTAAGAATTTTTTATCACTGCACATTTTTGCGAAAGTTTAGCCGAGCAGAAGCACGCCCTGAAAATTTCTGAACACACACAATGTGTAACTACTATGCACAAAACAGGCTACAATTGATATTAAAAAATGCCAAAAACCAACATACACTGCACAACACGCAGGGTTGCCCAGGGCCAAATTTGACTTGGTGCCCCACATGATTCCATCTTCTAACACTATCACTAGGGGGGCCGGGGCATTCTCCCCAGGAAAATTTTAAAATCTGAGGTCCCAGAAATGGTCAAATCCTGCATTCTGGAAGTCTTTTGACAGTTATATCTATGTATATTTTACATAATTCTTTATTTCGGCCCTCCTTTAACTAAGGCTCCAGGAAAAATTGCCCCCTTTGACAGCACCTATAGTTTCAACTATCTGTGACGGCATAGTTTCATAATCACATACTTGCAAGAAAGAAATATTTTCGTATTGGCAAATGAGAGGCAGCTTAGACAGCTTAGGACTGACAAACCTCTAGAGGAGTTCCAAGGGCATGCACCCACAGAAAATTTTGTAATCTAGGCTCTCTAAAAGGGGATTTTATGCAATGTGCAAAGACATTCTATAGAATTCTGAAGATTACACACTAATTACAAAAAGATAAGTATCATTCACTTTATCATCCAGACTCATAAAGGAACCTTTGGTGCGAGACTTTGTTCATCTGATAAACCTGAAGTATAATATTAGTGCACGTTCGATGATTTGGCAGCTATCATTTCAATTTCATTCAAATTGTTCTCATTCAAAATGTTTTGATTAATACTGTCAAGGAGTGTCAAGACGAATTTTTAGCTCAGTTTTTCTGCTCATTGCCTGGATTTTCGTGTTAATTGTTAACAACTTATCACAGCAAATTTTATCACTGCACATTTTACATTTTATCACAGCACATTTTAGTTTTATCACTGCACAAATTGGTTATCACTGCACACTAAAATTAGGTATGGTATGTGTACATGTACCCCTATGAACTGGTAGACTAGATATCAATTTTGAGCATGCTCATATATAGTTTGTAGATTGTTTCTATATACAGAAAAATATATTCAGTTTGTTATCAGGATGGTGTCGTTGTGGCAATAAAAATTTACTTTGTCTCATTTGAAAGAAGTTTTAAAATTATATGAAAACTCTTTACATAGTTCAAAACAAAACTAATCTCGCCTCTTGCAAACGTTTTTCTGGACTCTACATTGTAATCACTCCTTTACATGCAAAATCCATAATTGTATATGTTACCAAATTGCACGCAGTCTCGTAAAACGATTTTGTAATGTTGCACAATAGATCATAATACTTATATTATTTTGGGCAATCAGACCTCACACAACTCAAATTCACTCAACGAGAATCAATTCGATCTTTGTCATTGTAGCTTCCATATGTACATGAGAGATATACACAAAACCATGAGTTCAGTGTATGTATGCAGTATTTTCCAATAAAACGTTGTTATTAGGGTCAGAGTTACCATCAGCATTTTGACTCAAATAATGGTTCCATATAAAAAACCCACAATACATCCAGATTTTGGAATTACATTTAGGAAAAATTTCACTTTCAGACAATTCAACTTCACTCAACCAGATTCAATTCTTTCTCAAGAAGTCTTCTTACCTTTTCCTGTTCGTGGTCAACTGTCCACAACGGTGGCAAATATTTCGGTTTCATCGTTTCCAAAAAGTGTTCCCGCCACATTCTCTCAAATGCCAACAATTCCCCTCCCGCGCTTACCTTTCGAACGACTTCGCGACCATGAGAAATAAAATCACAATTCTCCCGTCTTGTTTCGAGCTCAGAGGCTTGCAGCAACATTTCTTGTGTGGGGTTGTCAGTCTTGAGATAGTCTTTCACTGTAGACAGCAGTTCATTTCGTCTGTCTTCAGGAATCTTCTCGCCTGCGTAAACAAGCGCTTTGGCTGCACATTTCACTTTCTTTAGTTCTGGGTCTTGTACCAGCCTTGCAAGTTGGGCTGAACCTAGAAGTTTAAAACATGAAATAGTTTATAATATAGGTCTGCTAATAAAATATACATGAAAAAATTACTCGATTCTGGTCGGCTAAGATGCACTGCAATTTTTTCTGAAATGCAATTTCTAAGCGCAAATTAACAAAACAAGAGCAGTGCCTGAAAACGAGGAAGGAAAAACAAACATGGCGGCATATATTTGGATAATTTTTGTTCACTTGAACAGTGTTACGAGTCACCTATAGGTCGAGTCACGAGTCGAGTCGAGTCACTCAAAGGTCGAGTCACGAGTCGAGTCATTTCAGTTTCTGATCGAGTCGAGGCAGTGGCTTCACTCGAGTCGAGTCGAGTCGAGTCAGCAGTTTCACTCGAGTCAAGTCGAGTCATTGGTTTAAGTCGAGTCGAGTCAATAGCTAGACTTAACTTGAGTCAGGGAATTTGATAAGTCCACCCACATCCTTGTCCCCAGGGCCTCTCTCTCGGCCGCGCGCGTCCTCTCTAGGCCCTGGAACAAACGGAACCGGAAGTGCAAGTAAACTTGCAGTAGTTTCTAAAGCGCATGGTCTTGAATTGGGACACTTTAGCACCCGTAACAATTTTCAAAGTGAAGCATTACGAAGAAACGAAGTATTTGCGTTCATATATGTTGATAGAATAATTTTTCCTAGCTAAAACTGCTCAACTTCTGCGAAATAGGATTTCTCTGAGAAGCCAATCAGATCTCTCGCTTTAGACGCCTAACCCACAGCCTACTTTTCAACGAGTGACCGAGTGAAAATGGCTCTGGGGACGAGAATGGTCCACCTCACCCTTTTTGTAATGGTTCGCTACCTTAGCTTGCAGTTTGAAATTAGTAATCAAATTTACGTTTTAAGCTAATCACTCTAGTCATGTAATAACAGTATCTGGGCAGCCATAGGCTGTACCAATATCACAGTTCTAGTCAATATTAAGTACAACCACATGAGATGTCTCATCATGCCTGCTGATCGAGTGTACGTATATACAACTAGCATAACTTGCAACTGGAGTCAGAATTAACAAAGAACAGAGTTTAATTAACCATGCTTTGTAAGTTAATTTGAAATTATATAGCATTTCATAAATACCAAAAATGAAGATAGCCGGTCAGAATTAGCATAAGTACAAAGACTCCATTTTAAAAACTGTGGCACTAGCGTTGTTTCTAAAAACAGAAATGTAATATAGGCATGCCCGTCAGGAATATACTGTATTCTATGCAAATCCGATATATTTGCTGATAAAGTTTCGAAGTTCTCATTGTTCACAGGGCTCATTGTTCTTCCCAAGCAATACAATCACAATATTTTTGATGAATTTATTCTCTACAAGTTGTAGCTGAGTTGACTCGAGTCATTTACGGCAAAATCAGCAAGTCGAGTCCGAGTCAAGTCATTTGGGGCTGTTGACTCGAGTCGAGTCATTTTTCGTTTTGGACTCGAGTCGAGTCGCTGAAAATAGCAACTCGAGTCGACTCAAGTCCGAGTCAATGACTCGACTCGTTACAACACTGCACTTGAATCACTTCAACTGAAAATCATACGTGAATTTAACAAGGAGAGCATGGCATGAAAAGGTTTGCTAACAAGCAATGAAAAACAAAGCTTCAACATCATCTGGTTAATTTAACAAGGGCAGCCTGGTCAAGTATAACCAGATTCCTGGAAATTTTTAACCAAGAACTTTAAGCAGGAACAATAAGTTAATCCAAATAGTTTTTTTGTAGGTTAACCAGGCCAAGTTAACCAGAGTGCTTTTAGAGTGTACAAAGTATCATTTTTAACATAACAATAGCAGGACCCAGTGAATATCCTGTGGGAGGAATATTTCCGTTGTCACTAATTGTTTTGAAATATTTTTGCATTGGGTGTAATCTGGCCAGGCTAATCACTACATGAAGTATACAATATACTTTGGTTACCTAAAGGTGCCTGATATTTTTCCGCTACATTTCTTCTTAACAAATCATCATGGTAGGTTGAGATCATGTGACATGGTGGGCATAGCAACAATACGTCATGCGAGTGATGATCTTTCATAAAGACAGGAAAATGTTTTCTGTAATCATGAGGAATGATATTTTTCCTCATGTAGCTGTCATCTCTGCCACAAACAACGCACATATTTTCTTTGAAAGTGAGGTAGTAGTTGTGTTCTGGGTCAAACGGTCGACCTGAAGGTTCAAAGTTTAAACGTATGGTGTATGGCTCTTCTTTCACAACTTCAGCTGAAAATAATAGAAAAAAGTGATGTAGATAACATTGATTAAGAAGTATAAGAAAATACAGGAATTATTTTCGATAGTTAATGTTTGGTTTCCACTTGGTGGTGGCTGTCGTGATCATGTCAAAGTGACCGATCTAAGAGTGTTGATGATCAGTAAATAATTATTTGCATACATCTCACAAACGAGAAGCAAGATATAATAATTCGTGTATTGTGTTATGGTACTGTATACACTTCGCTATCTACGTATTTACATTTTGCTGGCAGCATGCATTTCGCAAAGTTAAGTGTCATAGTTGCAATAAAATTTCAACCATGTCATTTAACTTTGCGACGGTCTGAGTCTTGTTGCAGATTGTGGCTTCACTCCAGCACGCAGCTACAACAAAGACACAATCTATGACGAGGCTCTGGAAATGAACCTTCTGAGATGAACTTTTGGAAGACTTCAAAACCAATCTTCAAAATAAGATGATTCATCATTTCACTCTTATTTTGCAACCACATCTTATTCACCTGCTTTAACCGTTTGGGAATTTCATTTCAGGCAACAAACTAGTTTCCCTGGTCCCTGGACATGACGATTGTTGACTTCAACGCAATATTGTGGACTCCCAGGCAACTGGGTGGAAAAAATATTGAACAGACCGAGAGGTAGTGGGGTGGCAGTAATACAATTATTACCTTGTTACCCCTATTATTTCTCTGTTTTGCGTATTTCGCCGAGTTGTCTGCGGAGCCGGAAGCTAAATCAAAGTGTGAATGTGTACTTTTGTTCCTTTTAAACATGCTACAATTAAGCAAATTTAAAACTGACCATAAAAATCATGGTTACATTCCACGACAATAATATGCACACAATTGCAGTAGCTAGCCATTCAGGTGATAATTTCTGATCTTTCGCTCTCCATGAGATAAAACTATAAACCTTTTAAGGGTTAAAAAGTTAAAAACTGTGTGTGTGTGCAGTTAAGCCTGTATATATAAATGATATGGTTTTATAAAAGATATACAAATTCTTAATATGTAACAATACAGTACATGTAGATTATAAATTATAGTACAAATTTAAAGTTGCCCAGTGTCCTGGTGTAACAGCTATTACTAAAACTGCGGATGCTTCCCCACATTCATGAATGCGAGTACATTCCTACGCCTATTACAGCTAAAATGTAAAATGTCATTTAGCACAATTTTCGGCCGACAAATCGCAATTTCCCAATGTTTTGACATGAAAACATGACACGGTTTTGGGCGATTTAAGCCAGATTTTACAGTAAATGTAATTAACACACAACTACAGTGGCTCCCCATTTCGCTTCGTTCATATCTGGAAGTTCTTCCCATGTGAAACGATCGAATCTAAAACTTTCCACTGACTTTAAGGGATCTCCACTTAAATCTTTACCTCCCATGACAATCACAGTGTCCCTGACAACTGCAGCCACACAACCTTGCCTCATAAACTTCATGTCAGGTAACATGTGGCTCTTCTGGGTCTTAATGTTGTATAGTAAAACTTTGCTCATTGCTTCATATTCAATGTCAGCACCTCCAATTATGATGATGTTATCATCTCCCCACTTGACCATGGCCATTTCACACACGGGATAGGGAAGGGGTTCTAACTTCTGACATTCGTTCTTCGTGATGTCATACATAAGAACCTCTCTAAGCATTGTGGCACAATCATCGTTTTGTAGTCCTCCAACAATCACAATCTTATCACCAAACAAAACAACACCATGGTCACTTCTTCTCCGTGGTATGGTAGCCAACAGTTTACTAGTATACGGTGGAACAAGGGAAATCTCAGTAATTCTATCAGAACATTCATCTTTATCTGTGTCATAGCCTCCAATCACTATCAACCGTCCATTATACACTACGCTGCTGTGCCACGCTAATGCAACAGGTAACTCAGCAGGAAAGTTTTCCCAAGTTATGGACTGGTCACCTTGAACAACATTCAATGATAATTTTTCCATGGACTTCGCCCAACCTCCCATGACAATAAACTGATTGTTGTAAACAACTGCAGAACAACCATAGCGCCATGCTCTCATTGGTTGTAATAGTGTCCATATTCCATTGGAACTGCAGAACATTTCAACAGAATTTTTTACTCTACACTGTTTAATACCAAAGATAACTATCTTTGGCTCTCTGTCCATCCGTTCAGCTCCTGCAGTTCCTTTCTTATTAATTTCTTTCTGTTCAGCGCGAACTTCTGTTTGCTGTGCCATTCTTTCGAGGTGTTTTGTAATCTTATTCAAAGACTTATTCATATCCTCTTGAACAAGACGGTTATTAACTTCCTGGTTGTTAAGCTGTGCTTGAACCAGTTCAACTTTTGTAACCACATTTTCCACAGTTGCTTTTACATGTTCAAACTTTGCATCATTTCCTTCTAACTTTTCCTTTATTTCTGCCAAACTAACTTTCACTGTATCCATCTCTTGTCTAAGGTGTTTGCAATTATCACATTTGACCTCGCGTAATTCACAAACAACTGTTTCATGGTGAAATAAATCTCGTTTATTCACCTCGAGTCGGCATCCTTCATTAGAGCATACTGCTGGGGCATACCCACATTCTTTCAAATGTCTCTCGAGAGATCCTAACTCAATATACTCTTCACAGCCGCGATCAGAAAACTCACAACGAATCTTCAGTTCTGAGAGCAAGTTCGTCACGGTTCGCGATGCTTTGCTAAGTGTCTCGACAGTGAGTGGTTCCATGCATGTAGGGCATGTTTGAAAGTTCATGAGATGTCTGGTGATACAAGCTCTACAGAATAGATGTTCATTTTGCTGACACATCACTGGATCTTTGATTACATTGGTGCAAATAATACAGTGCAAGGTTTGGCTGACAATCTGTTCGAATAGTTCATCTTCATAACCAGTATCATATACTGCCATTTTCGAGGCCATGGCAGTTCAAAAACGTTCTTTAATTACACCATTCTATCAGTAGGCTAGAGTATAAACTGAGCCACAATCAACCGTTCAGTCGTATTTAATTGATTTAATAGACCCAAACGAGAGCTTTGATTGAATATCTCACATTGTTATTCAATAGCAGTTCTACTGTACATCAAAGACAATATTCCGATTGCCACGTTAGTCCACATGAAAATAACTTCAAATCATGAATATTAAATTACATAATTATTTACATAATTTGGTATATCGGATGTATTAACGTGCAATAGACTTTTGCATAAATATATCAAAACAATGAGTGACTTGCATGGATAGCACAGTCACAGAGGACAGTAGCATTTCCAAACAAGCAGTGAAACATTTAATACTCAGACATTAAAGACGCATTCAGTTTCTCCAATCCACGGCAGCGAGTTGACAATGTCATATCATCAACTTAAGGCCAAGAAAGAAAGGTTATATAAAGATCTTATTATATGGCTTTGCAGAATCCTGGATTCTGATTGGTCGACGTGCGGTGTGTAAAATCCGTATCCGGACCGGTTTCCCGCTCTAGGTTTCCCGTATGTCAATTTGACAGGCAGGGGCATAGGAACCGGGGGGGCAGGGGGGCCAGCCCCCCTCCCAAGTTTTGGCAAGTGCCCTTTTTCTTGCGTGAAAAATGTCTGAAGGATTGCCTTTTTTTGCCGAAAGGGCACTTTTGAAAACCTGAATTTATGTTCAATTTTCCGGACAATTTTTTTTCATTTCAGGGAAAAATATGATATATCCGGAAAATTTTTTGGTATATCCGGAAAATTTTTTTCATATTTAGGAAAAAAATGTGATATATCCGGAAAATTTTTTTGGTGTGTCCGGAAAAAAATTTTAAAGACCTCCCCCACCCCACGCCCCGTCGCCAAATTTTCCGGGAAAAAATTTTAGATGCCTTTTTTATTCGGAAAGTGCCCCTCAAAGCCTGCCCCCCCCCCCAACTTTTAGAATTTAGAAATTAGAAGCTTCCTACGCTCCAGTAATGACAGGCTCGAATTTGAAACGTTTTTACACGTTTATAAGGACGTTGTGTGAAGAAAAAGTATCCTTGGATCATTTTTAAGAATAAGAAGTATTGGAAATATTAATAAGTACTTGTACCAACACAAATTTCATCGAAAAAGCTAAGAAAACAAGCCGTTTGAGCTCTTACTGGCAACCGTAAGTTTTGGCGGGAAAATGTCTTGATTCGTTTACTTGTTTCAAAAAATAAATAAAGATGAATTTAACGTCTTTAATACCATATTCTAAACAAATATCATATAAACTGGGTTTATAAGCATTTTTCTGAAGGTGGTGGTTACCGAAAAAATAGTTCTAAAGCGATTGTTAAACATGCTTTTCCGCAAACAATATTCGGTGACGAAACTATTAAACGAAGAAAACTAGCAAATAAAACATAGCTCAAAAATACCTTTACAGCGCTCAAACAAATATATGAAAATCAGAAAATGTGTTTAAGGAGCCATATAATAAACGGTTTATTAACCTTGGTCTGTATGGGTAAGTATTTGCCTTTGGTTTATCCACACAGACCTCGCTCATTCGAGCCATTTCATTTAATGTACACACCCCCTATGGATGAGGTCAATAAAATTTGAACCCCTAAGAAAAAAAGATCAAAGTGCGGACACAAGCAGCCCCAGAAATTAAGAAATTTTTGCTTTACCCCTCAGAAAAAAAACGCAAAGATCAAAGGATGCCGATGCACACAACCCCTCAGAATTGGCTTTTTCAACCCCCCTCAGAAATTTTCGTCCATAGGGGGGTGTGTACATTAAATGGAATGGCCCTTCGTCACTCGGTCCAGATGTACGAAAACCTCAACACTGTGCCAGTGTAGGTATAGTGCCAATAATATAAACACGCTTTCGTTCGCAGGTATGCAACAACCTGAAAAATATGAGAAAAATTTCGATGTTTCGAGCGAAGGGTCGAAATTCTCCTTATATTTTTCAGGTAGTTGCATCCCAGCTAGATGTTGCACATGCTTACTGTCTGTAAAATTTCCGGCATAATTTGTACAATTCTTTAAAAGGAACAAAAGTACAAACTAGTATGAATCTGGATTAGCCAGTACACACTTGCAGCAGTGCTTAAAGGTGCCCTACAGTCCGATCTGCGCATGTGCACAGAGGAGCCCACTTTTTATGATACAAACAGTTTAACTATGTTTTGGATTCTTGCAAGGCCTGATTGTTGTTTCTGGATCATTTATTATACTCTAGAAGCTTGAAAATATAAATAGTTGTCGAATAAAGCTCAATATTTTGGACACAAAAATGTAAACAAAGGCTTTGTTTACATAAGGACTGTAGGGCACCTTTAAATTGCATACGGTTCCCTATGCCAAAAGGAATCAAATTTGACAGGCGTCCCAACCTTGTGCATATAATTTTGCACTCATGGAAAATATGTGACAAAATTATCTAGAGTTATTTCAATTATCTAGAGTTTCAGAGCTTTGACTGTACATGGACATTTTATTAAAGATATAAGTTCACGACTTGTTGGTTTCAGTTTTAGATTGGCAAAACTTTGTCGGCCTGATTTTTATCTAAATTTTCCAGGGCAAATTTAGAAAAGATCAACTTACCTAACTTTCTACAGAGATACCACTCAGCCTTTCTTTTATCGCATGTACTCAACATTTCCCCATCCGGTGCTTCAATCACACAATTTTGATACAGTGGTGCTCGACGTGGTTTCAATCCTGACACCTTATTGGTTGCCTGTGCGGAAATACCTTGTTTCCCGTTTTCGCTGCTCTGTGCTTTCCCACCCCCCTTGTGTTTCGCTTTTATCTTATATGGAACATCAACAATTCCATGACAAAGGGGGTTGAAAGAACTCCAGAACTCAGGGGAGGAAAACAAATTCTCATTCAATTCCAAAGTTTTAAAACTCTCATACTGAGTGTAATTTTTGGTCTTGTGTTTGGAATTGGGTTCTTTGTGTGTTTCTTTGGATTCCACTTGCATCCCAAGTACAGAACCAAATGAAGTTTTAATCTTTGTTACAAAACTAGAAAGTATCCCCTCTTCTGCACTACAGCCAGTCAAATTGTTCATATTGCTGTTGTCAGTAATATTTTGCGATATAAGACTGTCACTTGCTGATATTTCGTTTTGGGCACTGTTTCTATTACTCGGCTCAAAGTTGCTGTTACTTGAAGAAACAACACTAGTAGCCTCATTAGGGTTATCCTCACAAGCAACCTTTTCAAAGTTGTTCATGTCTGTATTTTCACTACTCTGTACAGGCTGGCGTACAGTAGTACAAGTCACATCACTTGATTGAGAGCCTTTTTCTAAGCAAGCATCAACAGTTTGCAGAACACCATCTTCACTCTTGTTAGTTTTCCCTGCTTTAATTCGGCTTTCGCGTTCTCTCAGTTTTGAAGCGGCAAGTTTAAAGAATATCTGAACAGCCACAATGGCATCATTAGCCGCATATTGTATCTGACGCTCAGAGAGCTGAGAAGCCTCCCAGTTGCTGCATCTAATTTTCCAATCTTTGTCCATTGTAACACCAAGTACTTGCTGTGATAAAGCTGACAAACTCATTCCTTCTCTATACAGAAATGTTTTGAGAAATTATTTGCAAAGCTGGTTTTATTTTAAAGATAGTGCATACTTATAGTATTCAACATATATTAATTTTACATATGTACAGTAAGTTTATCTTAATCTTCGAAATTATGTAGTATCCAGTTGCGATACAAGTTATTCAGTCTGGTCTGCAAAACCAAACTTTCGTATCCTGTCAATATTGAGATCTTAGAATGTGGTTGTAGGCATTGTCCTACATTTTGAAATGGTTCCATAATTGTGGGGAGCAGCCACCTCCCCCAATAATTTTGAAAGACCTATAAAAGTCTGCTACCAAACTAGTCACAATTCACAAGCGTTGTTTAGGAGCAAGTGGCAAGCATGCAATCATACCCATATGCCGTAATTGTCATATTAAATAATGACTATCAATTAAAACTTTTAAAAGCTTAAGTTAGCAAGATACTATAGCAAGCAATATATGATTCTGTACAAAGCATGCCAATGATGCTGCAACATACACATTTTATACAATATGTTTTGTTTTGTTCTGTGTAGGATATTTCTTAGAGCTCTACTGATAAAAAAATTAACCCTTTAGAATTGATAATTCTAACTGTACAACAATGCTAATCAACATGCTTAATTAATTATCTTGGAAAAAGTATCTAATGTACGTCAAATGGCACAACTCGAGACTCTTTATTCATTTCATCAAGTACTCATTTTCTGAAAGATTCACATAACTTAATAGATATACATGTTCATTATTGTTGAACATTCCCCCCCCCCTCCACTCCCCTTATATTTCCACATACTGGATTGAGAGTGCATGTAAATTGGAACTGAACTGCCTGTGCTAGTGTAAGTGGCAATAACATATGAACAAGCTTTTGTTGACCAGTAGGGATGCAACTACCCGACGGCCATTCATCTGGAGTTAGGACAAAGGGCATTCACTCAAAATTCTCTTTACATTGGGCCATTCCATTTAATATGCGCACCCCCCCTATTGAGGGTTGGGATATCCAGGGGGTCCAAAGAACAAAAATCCATTAGGAGAAAGAAATTTTTCAAGATATATCCATGGGTAAATATAAAAAAATCCAAATAAAAATCCAAATGGAAAAAATTTAAACAAAATAAATCCATGGTAGTAAATTTATTTATTCATGGCAGTAAATTTATCAGTGAATTTATTTGTGTATCAATTCTATTTCAAAGAACATATGCAAAATATCCATTGAACAAATTTAACAAAATCCAAAAATCCAGGGGGGGAGAAATTATGTTTAACCCTCAATAGGTTAACAAAGGTTTAGAAAATCCACGGGAAATGTTAAAATGAGAAATCCACATACCCTATTACTAAAGCAATATCCAGGGGGTATTTTTTGTAAACCCTCAATAGGGGGGGTGCGGTTAATAAATGGAATGGCCCATTTTTCAGGTAGTTGCATCCCTACCAACGAGAGCTTGTTCAACTTACCTGGAGCCACCCTCAGAAATGCAATGTTCAACATATCCTTGACATCTTAAAGCCACATGTCTTAAATCGACACAGCCTTGCATAACCAAACCATAACAAGTGTTCAACTTTTTTGCATCTTCACTGATTCCAACTCCACTTTTCAAGATATTTCTATCTTCTAAAATTTCCCTTAGTTTATCAGGCAGCCGTGCTTCCATTTTACACAACCGTAATAAGAAGCAAGTGCCGTTTGGGAAAGCTAATTGAAGCAAAGAAACGGGGCTAACTGGGCTTTCGCTTTGCCGTTCCCGACTCACCCATTCGCAGTCAAGTCCCAAAACAATTATTTCATACGAATAATTCTTCATTTCTTCACATAATTTCGCGTTGCAAGCATTTAAGTCTTCAAAAACGACAACGTCAGAACTAAAGTTCACATTATCTACCATTTTGGTGAAAGGAAAAGCCGCAAACACTTCAGAAACTACAAATAAAACATGAAAAGTTTAGAAAACTGAAACTGTAATTTCAGCGTTCTTTTTGGAAGCCATCTTGTAATTTGCAACAGAAGAATCGGCGCAATTTTTGTCGCGAATAAAATTACTGGAGAAGTTGAATAAATATTTGAAAATGTGGAATAAGACTATGAACGCAGTTTACGCAGGTGCAGACGTATAAAATGCGCACAAGTTGTTACAGGTCTGCAAACAAGTTTTTACGAATCTGTTCACAAGCTGTCGACAAGTTGTGTTTGCACTGCTTGTCGGTCTTGTGACTTGTAACAAGTCTGATAATGCCATCAAGCTTGTTCCAAACGTAATACAACAACTAGGGACAAGAGTACAAGGTTGTTCTGATAACGTTACAAAGTTACATGACGACACAGGGTTGTAACAATATTGTTATATGACTTGTTGGAACAACCCCGCAATAGATCTGGCGATATCAACAAGGTTGTTACAAGCAAGTGTTAACGGCTTGATCCAAACTTGTTGACAACTTGGGACAAGCAGTGCAAACAGAACTTGTTGACAGCTTGCTGGTAGACTTGCTACAAAATGCGAGTTCCACGTGATACGCGACCACCACGCAAAAAGAATTTTTTCAACGCTTGTATCAAACAAGCGTTGAAATCAGATTTTGTCACTTGGTTGGCTCGTGTTTATACTTTGTCTTTATTCAGTTCTTGAGTTAGAGAGTTGGCTTGTAAGTGAGTAAGATCCGCATTCCCTTTGTTAAGTCATATAAAATTCACTTTTTGTCAAAAAGCCTTTGTTCATACGCCGGAAACGAGCCAGCTGCCTAGCTTGGGTATATAAATAGCTTTCGCCGCACGCCACCTGTGCACGCCACTGTTACAAAGGCAAAGCATCCGCTTCGAATATGTCAAACAAAATCGAAGAAATCATCGATTTTTGGTTCAGACCAGGTCATGTAAAATGGTGTGGCGGCACAGAAGAAGCGAATACTGAAATTCGACAAAAATATGGAGATTTAGTGGAGGCTGCTTTCGAAGGCAAGCTAGAGGAATGGAAAGACGAACCGAGGGCAAGTCTAGCTTTGATCCTAATCTGTGATCAATTTTGTCGAAATGTGAACAAGGGTACGAAGCGAATGAACGGACTCGACCCGATTGCATTGGAAATAGCTCAGAAATTTCTGCAGCAAAAGACCCACAACCATTTGGCCTTCTCGTTCTTCGAGCGTATGTTTATATACCTACCCTTTATGCACAGCGAGGATCGAGCCAACCAAGAGCTCTCGGTGAAACTGTTTACACGACTCGCCGAGGATGCAAAAACACCAGATGAGAAGAAAGCAGGAGAGAATACGTTGAAGGGAGCAAAGAATCATAAAGAGGTCATTGATAGATTCGGTCGGTATCCACAAAGAAATGCCTCTCTGGGACGAGAAAATACACCAGAAGAAGCAGAATTTTTAGTTGATTTGCCATGCAAATATAAATGGTAAATTTGGTGACCTGTTGGACTGACGTATCAGTGTTGTAAAAATTTAAAAAGTATAGGGGAAAACTACAATTACTTCTCCAAAAAGGCAATTATTACAGATTTTCAAATTACTTTCCTTGAATAGTAATTTTAAATTACTAATTACTTGTTACTAGGGGTTACTATCGCAAGGAAAGTGCTGCTTTGGATCCACAGGCAAATACTGAAACCTCAAATATATCTGAAAACTAAATACAAAATTATTTTCATTTGGCTTAAAATACATTTACATGTACCCATCAGGGCAACCAAGAGGGGGGAGGGGGGGGGGAATTGGCCGAATTGCGCTGGGCTCCACCTTAATAGGGCCCCAACTTGAGAGCGAAAGGCTAAAATTGAGTAGGTTCTTTAATTAAATTGGTCAGAGAATTTTTGAAATTGAGGGCCTCTTACAATACATCCACATGCAGTCTAGTTAAGGTCTAGTTGGGTCTAGCTAATTAGAAATAATTATTTAATGGGGCCCCCAGGGAAGATTTGTCCTGGGCCCCACAAATTCTCTGGACAGCGCTGGTACCCATACAAAGAAACACTGTATGTACGATTTATTTCATTTCAAAAATTGAGACTACAACACTTCAAAAACTGACTGTACAAAAACTATTTCAAGTTTACAAACTAACATATTCAACATATACAAATTAAAAGAAGAGAAGGAAGAAGAGAATGAAGAAAAAGACATGTGGACTAAGTGCACAAAATATAAACATACAATACACACACGGTAGAAGTAAACAGACACACAGACAGAAATGACGATGAACATAAAAGTACATGAGCACAGACAGGCACGCAATTTGCATTTTTTGAAAGAAATAGGACTGGAAAATATGTCAGACTTCTCTTACATAGAACGTTCCAGGGTTTGACAATAC